GATGCAGCGCGCGCGGGCTTTGGTCGGTCCGGGGGTCGTTCTCGCCTCTTCTTCTTCCTATAATTTGATTTTTGATTTTAGCTATCCTTATTAGTGCAAAGTTTTATCTCATTATAGTTTTGATTTGCATTTCCCTGAGGACTAATTATGCTGAGTTTCTTTTGATGTGCTTATTGGCAATTTGAATATCTGCTTTGGAGACATTCTTTATGTATTCTAAATTCAAGGCCTTTATCAGATATGTACTTTGCAAATATTTTTCCCATTCTTTGGGTTATCTTTTTACTTTCTTGATAGTGTCCTTTGAAGCATAAAAGGTTTTAATTTTTAAGAAGTCCAATATATCTATTTTTTCTTTTGTTTCTCATGCTTTTGATATTATGGTTAAGAAGCCAATGCAAAATCTGATGTCATTAAGATTTCTCCCTATGTTTTATTATAAGAGCTTTATAGGTATTTTTAGGCTTTCAAACCATTTTGAGCTAATTTTTGTATATTGTGTGAAGTAGGGGTTCAACTTCATTGTTTTCTGTGTGTGGCTATCCAGTTGTTCCAGCATTATTTGTTGAAAAGATGCTTCTTTCCTCATAATCACACTTGTTGAAAATCAGTTGACCACGACCACAGATACATGGGCTTGTTTCTGGACTCTCTCTTTTTCACTGGTCTATAGGTCTATCCTGTTCCAGTACCATATTACCTTGATTGCTGTGGATTTGTAGTAAGCTTTTATTTTTATTTTATTTATTTATTTTTAGAGATGAGATTTCACTATGTTCACCAGGATGGCCTCAACCTCCTGTCCTCAAGTGATCCTCCCATCTCAGCCTCCCAAAGTGGTGGGATTATGGGTGTGAGCCATTGCGCCCAGCCAGTAGTAAGGTTTGAAAGAAAAACCTGTGTTATCTTACTTTATTTTTCAGGATTGTTTTGGCTCTTCTGGGTCCTTCATATTTCCACATGAATGTTAAGATCAGCTTGTCAATATCTACAAAAAAGTAGGTTGGGATTCTGATAAGGATTTTGTTGGATCTGTAGACCAATTTGGGAGAATAATGCCATCTTAACAATTTTAAATCTTCCAGTCCATGAAAATGGGAAAATTCTCAATTTATTTACATCTTCTTTCATTTCTTTCAACTTTTTTTGATAGTTTTCAGAGTATAAATTTGCACTTCTTTTGTTAAATGTATTTTTATTTTTAGTGTTCATTACAAGTGTGTGGAAATGTAATAGATTTTTGTATATTGAACTGTATTCTCAAGCTTGCTGAACTTGCTCAGTAGTTTGAATAGTTTTTTAGTGGGTTCCTTAGGATTTTCTATATACAAGAACATGTCATTTGTGAATAGAGATAGTTTAACTTCATCCTTTCCAATTTGGATTGTTTTTATTACTTAATTGTCCTGACTAAAAATTTTGGTACAATGTTGAGTAGAAATGGTGACAGGAGACATCCTTGTCTTGTTCTTCATCTAATAGGGACAGCTTCTAACCATCCTCATTAATTAAGACATTGGCTGTGGGTTTGCTAAATATGATGTTAGCTGTGGGTTTTGCATCCGTGTGCTTTATCAGGTTGATAAAGTTCCCTACTATTCCTAGTTTTTCTAGTACTTTTTTAAATAGAAGAATTTTAGATTTTACCAAATTCTTTTTATCATCTTGTGAGGATTATGTGGTTTTCTTTTTTATTTTATTGATATTGTGTTGTATTAAATTAATTGACATTCAGATGTTAAACCAGCCTTGTATTTGTGGGATAAATCCCACTTGGTCAACATGAATAATGCTTTTTTTATGTTGCTGGTTTCAGTTTACTAGTATTTTCTTAAGGGATTTTTGTGTCCATATACATAAGATATATTTGGTCTGTGTTTTTTTCTTGTGATATCTTTGTCTGGTTTTGATATCAGGGTAATTTTTTGTTACCAATTTAATCTATTTTGTTGTTATAGGTATCTTGAAATGCTCTATTATTTTTGGGCCAGTTTTGGTAATTTTTGTGTCTTCTAGGAATTTGTCTTTTTCATCATATAAACCTAGTTTATAGGCACACGTTTTTTCATAGTATTCTTTAATATTTCTTTTTATTTCTGTAAGGTTACTTATAATATTCCTTCTTTCATTTCTGATTCTAGTAATTTGAGTTTCCTTTTTCAATCTTCAGTTCAGCTAAATAAATAAACTTGGGAAATTTTCAACTATTCTTTCTTTGAATATTTTTTCTGCTGTTTTCTCTTTCTCCTCTCCTTCTGCTATCCCTATTACATGTATGTGGTGTGCTTAATGATGGCCTACGTTTCTCTGAGGCTCTGTTCATTTTTTAAATGTTATTTTCATTTAATTTTTCTCTGTTCTTCAGATTCCATAATTTACATTAATCTATTTCAAATTTGCTAAATCTCCTTCTTAAAATCTACTGTTAATTCCCTCTAGGGCAATTTTTCTTTCAATTGTTATACTTTTGAATAAGAAAATTTCCATTTGGTCCTTTTTAATAATTTCTATCTCTTTATTGATATATCTTATTTGATGCAACATTATCATCTTACTTTCCTGTACTTATTTAATCATGGTTTGTTTAATCACGTTTCTTTGAATATATTTGTAATGGTTACATCAAAGGCTTTGCCTGTTAAGTTTGACATCTGGTGGTCATAACAAGCAGTTTCTGATACCTTTTTTTTTGGTTTGTTTTTGGTATATGTGTCATATTTTTCTGTTCTATTGCATGTCTCACTTTTTTTGAAACTGGACATTTTACATAATATATTGTAGAAACTCTGGATATTGATCTCCCTCACAACCACCAAGGCTTGTTATTGTCATCTGCTTGTTCAGTTGTTGAGTGACTGGATGGATTATTTTGGTACAGTTGATTCCTCTTCTTTGCCATGGGGTGTAGACTTTGACAAGGAAAAGGGAGGTTTTGGTTCAAATATCAGACTTTTACTTTTCTTCCCCAGTTTTAGTAGTTTAAAAATTATTTCTTCATTTATGATATGCCCTTAATACTATTTCCAGAGACTCTAAATATTTTTTAAAAATGATTTTCACCAGTTTCCATGGAGTGGGCCCTTGGAACTTCTTGTGCTGTTATGCCACCCATAAGGGTCTATTTCAGTTGTTTTAAGCTGTCAAATTTGTATCCATTAGTTACACCAACTACAAGAAACTAATACATAGCTAAGTATTTTAAAAATATATATAAACATTTTTATTTATTAAGAAATGGCATAAGTTTGGTACATTTTTGACTCAGAACATTTGAATGTTAATAAGGATATTGAACTCATTCACAGTATTCTCCCTCTAAACAGCTGTCATGCACTCCTACACCTCCACTCTAACTAGAGACTTCTTATTAAGAAGAAGGCAAAGCCATAAACCCAAAGGGTTCTGAGAAGAGTCTACTGGGGTTCCAGTACCCATAGCCTGGAAGACAAGCCCATTAGCCTTTCAGAGGCTCAACTTCCTCATCTGATAAGGTAGGGTGTGGACCATGTGGTGGATGAACATATTTTATTTTCAACCTGCTTAGCATTTGTTCCATTGGGTTGACTGCTTATCTCTCATGGCATCTCATCTCCCTAGCAACAAAGAATAAAATGTTGACAACAAGGCATACAAAAGGCTAATATGGATAGTTCCCTAGAACTCATTTGTGAAGGTTGGTAGGAAAAAGTTCTCTTTCCACATCGGTTGTAAGATGGGGGAATGAATATCAACACTTTCTGCATTTATTTTCACTATCGTATACTGAAGGTTTTTATGCAGCAGGAAAGAACAAAGCCATGAAGAGATTAGACAATGTCAGAGAGCCGTAATCTTGGTAACACTAAGCCCTAAATCCAATGCTTTAGTCCCTGGTTCCAAAAGTTCTGCCTTGAATACTGTGAGTAACCCAGAATTCTCTGCAGGTACAAAATCAATCAACTCATATTTTTGGTTGAAATTAATGCATTTGATATTCTCTCTTGTAAGTAAATGTTCTTCACTAATATAGAGCATACTGGACTGGGTCCAGACAGCCCCACCTCTTTATTCCCTACTATGTACACTCCTGAAATCTCCCTAAGTTAGGTTCCTCATCTGTACAGTGAGTACAAGCATCCAGCAATTCAAATGTTGCTATGTAGATAATATAGATGAAATGTTTGGAATATAGTAGATGCCCAATAAATGTTAGCATTATTGTATGACCAATTTAATAATTTCTCAGGCTGGATATTGCCCAAAGTTCACACGGCACCACAAGTAGCAAAACACTAAGAAAAAGGCTTTGGATGCAGAAAACATAGATTTGTACTTGCAGTTCAACACACTACAACACATTGTGGGATGTGGGACCTTTATTATTCTTGTAGCCTTTAGGACATTGTTGATTTAAGCAAATTGGCTTAGCAAGGAGATGTTTTCTTTCACATTATTGGAAGTCCAGAGGTGAGATTGGAACAAGGAGCAGTATGGTTGTGCATATTGTCAAATCTACACTGGTTACATATCTGCATTCATCTAGACTTTTTCTCAACCTTATTCCCCTCATAGTCATAAGATGCCTGCTTAAAGAACCTGGAGCAACACAATTGCTTGTTTCCAGCCAAGAAGGGGAAGAATTGCTTTAGATTACCAGATTTCTCTGCAAGCCTGTATTTTTCTCTGATAGACCCAAACTGGCCAAGTTCATCCCATATTTGAGTAAACCTCTAGCAGGGAACATGGAATTATACTAGTTGGCTTAGGTTAGTCATAGGGGGTGGATTGAATATTGAGAAATCAACCAAAATAGCTCTCATCACTCAGCACTCAACCTTTTGAGTCTTTTTTTCTTCCTGTAAAATACCTAACTCACAGTTTGCTGAGAGAATTAAAAAGATCAAATGTATGTTGTACCTTCAATAATATTTGGCACATAGCAATTGTTGAATGAATAGAAGACGTAACTGCTGAGATGATATTATACTCCAGGGGGTATGAGATATAGGAGACATACTGACCTGTAACAAACACCTGAGTGCCCTGACCTGATTGGTACTCCTCGGTAGCTTTCCCTTTTATGAACTTCACGCAATAATAGGTGCCAGCATCAGCAAGAGAGATTTCATGGATGCGGATGGAAAAGTCTGTGTTGCCAGGCTTGTTGGTGTCTCCAATCTCTTTTACTCTGGGAAAGTGACCTTGTTTGAAATTGTAGATTAATTTCCGGTTTGGCCCTGTTCCCTTGAACCACAAGACAGGTCCATTTGGTAAGGTATCTGGTACGCTGCAACTCAAGATGATTGACTCCCCAGTTGATACAGTCTGCGACATCTCTGTTTGTTGCACATGGAACATATGTGTGGCTCCTGGAAAGAAACTGAAAATCATTTCTCATTTCCCCTTCTCTGGCTTAAGCATGGGTACAGGTCATGGTTGGGCCTCATTCATTAATTCTTTTAACGACATGCATAAATGCCCATGCACTGAGTAAAGAGAGGCCTTTGCACATGGAGGCAGCTTCTCCCCAGAGTGCTGAAGGAGGGGAGTTAGTCCAGAGGACCAGATGTATTCCTCCTCAGTTCCATTCCTCAGCCCTCAACCACGGTAACAGGAGGACAGGAAGGGAGAAGGGGGAATTATCAATGGGTAATGTTCATGGAGAAAGACTAGTTCCCCTATCCATCTAATTGCCTAGAGTCACTCGGTACATTTGGAACTGGGTTCAAGTCCTGTCCCTCAACCCCACATCTCCACTGAGTTTGGGATTGGCCTTCCTCTCTCCTCTGAAGGGTGATTATTCTCTGAATTTGTAGAGAAGTTCATGCTGAGAGATGTGGAGAAGTTAAAACAATTAAAGAATGAGGTGGTCATGGCAACAGCATATAGTTCCACTGCTTATCTCTTCAAGAGAAAGAAGGGAGAGGGTTTCCTTTCCTTGACAAAAAGAGATTAGAACCTCAAGGGCCCTCTACAGTTTTGGAGGTTCTAACCGGCCACCCTTTACCCTCCTACACAGTCATCATCACTACCTTACAATGTGTCAGGTCCTGGTGATAATCTCTCCTATTAAGCTTGGTTGTCAAAACCACAGACTGCCTAAGGAGCAGGTTAGAGAGAAAGGGAACTCCTGGTTGGCAAGGCCAGGAGGTAGTGTGGGAAAGCAGTCTGCATTGACATTATGTAACTTAAGGGAAACTTGTGGATTTTCCATTGCCATTTGGGCATTATGGAATGTGTCTGGATTCAAGGGAAACATTACTGGGAAGGTCAGTTCTCCTGGAAGAATAGAGGGACACCTAATATCACTATATTTCATGACGTTAATTCAGGGGTGGTGAGGAGAAGGAATTACTGGTTATCCTGGGAATAAAAATACTTGGAATGAAAGAACAGTGGGGCTGGGCGTGGAAGTCTCAGGACAGACCTGGGAAAACTCAAGTGTCAGGAAATGACTCAACCCCTCTGGGAAGGCTTTCTGCAAAAAAGACTTTGGAGAGATCGATACACAAGACCCCTCCTTCTGGTCTGAGAATTCCCCAACAGTGCCAGGCCATGGTAGGAGATCACATCCACTCATTGACTTGTATGGGGAATGGGAATGTGATCTCAGACTGGACTGTGGTGACCACTCAGGTACTTGCTATCAGGCCCCAATCACATTCCAGTTGGTAATGGGAAGGTGAGTGGGATCATGGAGGCATGTAGAGAGTCTACCTGCCTGAAGAGCCCTTTGTTTTGGCCCAGGAGATACTGGGCATTTTGGGGAAAACTTCACCTATGTTGATATTCGATCAGAAGCTAAGATGTGGCTGCTAGCATCTGTGACTGGAAGTTTGGGGTCATGAAATAAGTCATAATATACGCAATGCATATACCTGGGCCCAGGTTTCTTCCTAGAACCTTAGAAGTCAGTCAGCCTTCTAGGGCCCAGTTTTCTTACCATTTAGGCCATGTAGTGCACACATGTAGTTGCACTTTGCATACCCAGTATCTTTTTATTTTTAAGTGTCTCCTATGTCATGGGTTCTGGTGGGGTTGGCATCAGGGAAGGATGTGGCTTGTCAACATAGCTTGATTCAATATTTGGCACAGGTTGTCCAGAATGGCTTACTAGAAAGGCCATTGGTAGAAACCTAGTCTACAGGGTAGTTTGTGGATAAAGGAGCACAGCGTTCAGTATGTAGTGATGATTTGGTACACGGTGAAGGATTTTAAAGAGTCATCTTCATAAACCCAGGGAATAAAGTGCATCAGGCTGTGCTCACCATTCACATACACGATGGTGCCTGGACCAGAGAAAAACTCCATGTCAGGGTGTCCTACCCTTAACTTCACACAGTAGTAGGTGCCAGCATCCTCTGGCAACACGTCACGGATGCGAATGGAATAGTCAGTTTGATCGACCATTGTGTTTTCCACCGGAGTTACTCTGGGGAAGTGGCTTCCATTGAAACTATAGATTAATTGTTGTCCTGGCCCAGTGCTCTTGAACCACAAGACAGGCCCTTCTGGGGACAGAGCAGACATATTGCAGGCCAGGGTTAGGACATCTCCAGGATTGACTGACACTAAAGTCTGAGGCTGGTTCACCTGGAACTCTTCATCTGAAGTTCCTGGAAAGAAACGTGGAATCATCTCTCATGTTCTCTGTCTTGGCTCAAGATGCTCTGAGGGTCTGGTTATAGGTCAAGGTGGGATCTCAATATGATAGTTTTATTTCAGCATCATGTGATGGCACCAGTCATATAAAAATTACAATGCTAGGTGCCATGTGAGGTGAAGGGGAGGGTATCAGTGTACAAATAGGAGAATGGCGCTTTCCTTCTGCATTGGGGCATGAGGATGGCCTGCAATATATTAGGCACTAAATAAACATATTTTAAATAAATATATGAATATATTTTTATTAAATGAGAATATACAAAATATAATTTGGGTCAGATTTTTCTAATTGTCTCAGAATCAGGGATACGGCCCCAGCTAAGGACAGTACGTTGATAACCAACATACTGAATACGGAGTGCATATGGAGTGACCTGCATATGGAGGCAGCTCCCTCCAATACCAGGTCTTCTATGGTGTGAAAGGCCACTCATTCACCTCTCCCAGAGTACACACTGAGGCATGCATTCTCAGTGAAGTTACTATTTTCCATAAAAGGTGACAATTGGTTTTTGGAGTATGGGAATATCTTAGATGTTACAATGGTTGGTTTGTCAATGCTCAATCCTACCCAATAAAATCTTATTCCTTACTAGTTAATTGCTCTTGTCACGTGTTCTTAGGTATCACACAAGCCACACTGACATTGAGTTCATGGCAGATACACAAAATGTCTCCAAGAGAAGTTCTACAAAATTGCAGTGTTATTCATGATAGCCAAAATATAGAAACAACTGAAGTGCCTATCAATGTATAAATGAATAAAAACGTGATTATACACACACACACACACACACACACACACACACAGTGGAACACTATTTATCCTTTAAAAATCAGAAAATTCTGTCACTTATGACACCATGGATATTATGGTGTGAAATAAGCCAGGTACAGAAAGACAAATACTGCATGATCTTGCTTATATGTGGAATCTCGCTTATATGTGGAATCCAAAAAAGTCAAACTCAAAGAAGTAAAGAATAGAATGTGGTTACCAGGGTCTGGGGTGGTGGGGAGTTGGACAAGGAAATGGGAGATGCTGGTCAAAGCCTATAAAGTTGTAGTTAGACACGGGGAATAGGTTCTGATGATCTATTGCACAGCATGGTGATTATAGTTAATGCATACTTCAAAATAGCTAAAAAAGTAGATTTTAAAAGTTCTTACCACAAAGAAGTGATAAGTATGTGAGGTGATGGATATGTTAATTAGCCTGATTTGATCATTTCACTGTATATACATGTATAAAAACATCACATTATACCACATAAATATATACAATTGTTATTTGTCAATTAAAACCAAAATAATATTTAAAAAACCACCAAGTTGTACACCTTTAAAAACAAATAAGTTCTACAAAACAATGGAGGACTTTATTTTTGTATGATTTTGCAATCTTACTAAGTGTATTCCTTTTCTATTGCTGAATAACAAATTACCACAAACTTAGTGGCTGAAAACAACACATATTAATTACTTCACAGTTTCTGTCCATTTGTAATTCAGGTATGGCTTAGCTGGGTTCTCTGCTTCAAGGTCTCACCAAGCTCCACTCAAGGTGTCAGGTGGGCTGTGTTCTTATCTGGGGGTTTGACTGGGGAAGTGTTCATTCTAAGTTCACTCAGGTTGTTGGTAGAATTCAGGTCTTTGTGGTTGTAGGACTGAGGCCTTCAACTTCTAGGGGCTTCCCTCAGTTCCTTGCCACGTGGGCCTTCTCACAGGCAGTTTTCAACATGGCTCCTTGCTTCTTTAAGGCCAGAAGTTGCAAGAAAAACTCTAGTGTGATAGATCTTATACAACCTAACATACTCGAGGGGGTGACAGTGCATCACTTTGGCCAGATTCTATCAGATAGAAGCATGTTACACACAACACACAGATAGAAGCATGTTACCTGAACAAAGAGATTTGCAACAGACATGGCCACTGGGAGATTTTGTCAGAATTGGGGGCCATCCCAGTGTAGTCTTACATAAGAGTGGGATAGTTGGGAGTCACCTTACAGTCTGTGTGCCACACCCAATAAGTACAGTTAAAAATTCAAGTGAGTTTTACTAGCTTTCAGTGTCTTAAGTTAGCTTTTACCTAAATATTTTTAGTCATCCTTAACTCTGCATTGAATAAAAAGAGCAAGCTTTATACTTACCCCTCCTATGTATAAAGCACAGACAGATATAAATGCAGTACATAAACCAACAAAGAATATATCTAAGTTATTAAAATTTCATGTTGAGGCTATTATGAGTTGAATTGTATGCCTCTGAAATATACGTTGAGATCTTTTTTTTAATTAATTAATTATTATTATTATTATACTTTAAGTTCTAGGGTACATGTGCATAACATGCAGGTTTGTTACATATGTATACTTGTGCCATGTTGGTGTGCTGCACCCATCAACTCGTCAGCACCCATCAACTCGTCATTTACATCAGGTATAACTCCCAATGCAATCCCTCCCCCCTCCCCGCTCCCCATGATAGGCCCCGGTGTGTGATGTTCCCCTTCCCGAGTCCAAGTGATCTCATTGTTCAGTTCCCACCTATGAGTGAGAACATGCGGTGTTTGGTTTTCTGTTCTTGTGATAGTTTGCTAAGAATGATGGTTTCCAGCTGCATCCATGTGCCTACAAAGGACACAAACTCATCCTTTTTTATGACTGCATAGTATTCCATGGTATATATGTGCCACATTTTCTTAATCCAGTCTGTCACTGATGGACATTTGGGTTGATGAATGTGACCTTACTTGGAAATAGAGTTGTTACAGAGAAAATCAAGTTAAAATGAGGTCATTGAGGTGGGTGCTAATCCAATATGGTGCTTGTTTTTATATGAAGTGGAAATTTGAACACAGAGACAGACATACACAGGAGTAAGATGATGTGAGGATACAGGGAGGGTGGTGCCACCTGCCATCCAACAAATGTTTGAGGCTACCACTGCCAGAAGCTCAGAGAGAGACATAGAACACAGTCCTCAGAAATAACCAACCCTGCCCACACTTCAATTTTGAGTGTCTAGTCTCCAGACCTGTGAGAAAATTAATTTCTGTAATTTAAACCACCCAGTTTGCAGTACTTTTTAAGAGTAACCAAATACAGTGGCAACAGAGAAATAAAAAACTGAATTTCACAGAAAGAAGTGTAAAACATGCCAGGGGCCAGGCGTGGTGGCTCATGCCTATAATCCCAGCACTTTGGGAGGCTGAGGCGGGTGGAACTCTTGAGCTCAGAAGTTTGAGACCAGCCTGGGCATCATAGTGAAACCCCATCTCTACAAAAAAAGACAAAAATTAGCTGAGTTTGGTGGCACGTGCCTGTAGTCCCAGCTACTTGGGAGGTGGAGGCATGAGAATCACTTGAGCCCAGGAGGTGGAGGTTGTAGTGAGCCAAGATCGCACCACTGCACTCCAGCCTAGGTGACAGAGTGAGACCCTGTCTCAAAAAAATAAATAAAAATAAAATAAAATAAATTACACATCCTTTGATTCCAGAGGCTGGAGGGTGAGAGCTATGATGGGTGCTGTGCCCAGCCCTGTGACCATAGGTGTGAGTCCTTTACCTGAACAAAGAGATTTGCAACAGACATGGCCACTGGGAGATTTTGTCAGAACTGGAGGCCATCCCAGTGTAGTCTTCTGAGTTCTGCCTGTTCTGGGATAAGACGAAGAAAACTCTCCCAAAGGAAATTTTATGGGAACAGGTGAGGGAGAGTTCACTAAACAAGAAGAGGGGAGAACCCACCACACACACACAATAAGGCCCCACTCACCTGCCAGTTCAAGCAGCAGATACAGCAGTAAGGAAGGCAGAGATGGGTGGAGTGGGGAGGCAGGGATGGGCATTGTGGTGAAACCTGGAGCTTGCTCTGCCTGAATGTCTGTCCTGGAGACGCGCTTGACTCAGTTCTCTGAGCAGAGAGGACAGTTCTTGCCTCTGTGATGTCAGAGGAAGGGGATTGTGATGAGAGGAAAGGTCAGGGGACTGGGACACTTTTTCCTTTGTGATTATAAAATTGAACAGACAAGGTTGCTTCAAGCTAAGAAGTTGCTGCTGGAAATATTTAGCATTGCTGGGACTGGGAGTCTTGACACCCACAGACTTATACTCCTTCCTGAGTTTTATCCGATCTCAGAGGTTCTCCCCAACTTCATGGCCTTTGCCTATCTAGGAGCCTCAGATACACAGGCTGGACCAAGGCTGCAACCTCATGATGGGCATGTGTGGGTCTAGCTCCTGCATGAGCTCAACATCTGGGCCTCTCTGAGCTGCACAGCTGAAGAAAGAGACAAGATATCTATAGCCTCACCCACTTGATAAGAGTTGAACTTTACAATGGATGCCCTTTCTTCCACTCCAGAGTTGTCAGAGGTAAAAAACAAGCAATATCTGCTGTGGGCTCTTGGCTTTTCTGTAGGTCCCTCCATACACTACTAGGAACTGCTTCCTTTTTCCTTCCTGCAGAGGAATCAGGCATGGCTGAGAAAGATATTCAAGTTGTGGAGGTGATGATGATTTGTGCTCTAGAGGATGGACGGGGCCTGCAGGGAAGGCGGAGCTGTGGGGAACGCTCTCTAGGAGGGAGAGTGACATGCCTACAAACACCTGGGAAGGTGAGGGCTGCCTCTCCTGCTTGGACTGGACCTGGGACCAGCTCTCAGGGACGGGATTGGAGGAGCAGAAGAAATGCTCCCAGAAAGAGGGAGGAAGCAGCATGTTGACATCCTTCTCTCTCAGCTCTGGAATGGGTTCTCCCTAAGCACAAAGGTTGCGTTCAGGGACCCTCAGCCCACATTCAGCTGGTGACCCTCTAATGTCCAAGCATCCATAGGCAGGAACGGGCTGCCATCCTGTTTCCCCATTGCCTCCTCATGACTTGTGCCTCCACCTCAGGGACCAGCTAGATGTCAGGGCCAGGAGAGGTGTTAGACCCTCTAGGAAAAGAAAGCAAAGCCAGGCTGGCACATTCCCTCTGAGATGACAAAACTCCCCATCCCCTGGTGATGTCATCATCCTATCCCATTGTCCTGAAATGATGAATTCCACAAAGGAATTCCAATCCATGGCCCCTGCTTGGAACTAGACAGGAACATTCCTCCAGCCTCCTTCATCCTCCCCTTCCCCTACTCTGAGGAATCTTCTCACCTTTCATTAGACTCTAAGTTCCTTGGAAAGTCAGTACTCACAGGTCAGTACCCAAGAGTGCCGGCTTTTGAATCAGATATAATCTAGGTTAAAATCCTGAATCCACCCCCTAGGAGCTGAGTAATCTTGGGGCCATGATGCAGACCTGTATATCCTGCAACCATCTTGACATCTTCATTTATGTGTGTGTGTGTATATGTGTGTGTGTGTGTGTGTGTATATATATATATATATATATATTTTTTTTTTTTTTTTGAGACGGAGTTTTGCTCTTGTTGCCCAGGCTGGAGTGCAATGGTATGACCTCGGCTCACTGCAACCTCCACCTCCCGAGTTCAAGCAATTCTCCTGTCTCAGCCTCCTGAGTAGCTGAGACTACAGGCACCCACCATCATGCCTGGATAATTTTTGTATTTTTAGTAGAGACAGGGTTTCACCATATTGGTCAGGCTGGTCTCGAACTCCTGACCTCAGGTGATCCACCTGCCTCGGCCTCCCAAAGTGCTAGGATTAGAGGTGTGAGGGTGTGAGCCACTGCACCTGGCCCCTTTGTATACCTTAAATATTCAAGTTTGAGTTTCAGATCTGCACTCACAAACCTTATCTTCTCCCACACCATGCCTGTTTAGTATTTGGTACCATCATCTATGCAGTTTGTCAGACCAGGAAGGGACTCAGGTTCTGTACCCTCACTTATCCACTTGCTACCAAGTAAAAGGGGGTCGCTTCCTGATATGCTAGAAGCCAATACTGTGACACCAGGCTTTTGAGAAACGAAAAGATTTTTATTGCAAATTGACTAACAGGAAGACAGGAGTCTAGCTCAAATCTAGCTCCATGTGCTAGCTTCAAGGCAGTAGCTTTATTAGAAAAAGTTTCGGGGGTGGATTCTGGGATTAGTATGATTTATGAAAGGAAAGGGGAGGTCTGGAAAGTCCTTGGGCAGGTACGGTTATCTCTCCATGCCTCTTCACAGGTTCCATGTACAAAACCCTGGGGCATTATTATGAAATATGTGGTAGAAATTCAGGCTGTGACATCAGCAAGCTCATTCTGAGCAAAATCCAGTTGGCCATATTGGTTCCAACAGATTTTAGTCAGTTTTGTTATCTTACAAGTGGAGGAAGTTTCAGCAGTTTAGCAAGTTGTTTTTTTTTTTTTCTTATCTGCTATCCTGTAAACTCAAGAATTTCTGTTAGTAATTGGTTTCTTTAACTCCTTGGGGGCATAGTTTCACACTCATATCTTGCCCCTGCCAGGCCCTATTGGACTTACCTCCTAAATCCCTTCTGAATTAATCTTTCTCCATCTCTATCATAATCTCTTGCCTGAATAAAAACAATTGCCTTCTCACTAGAGTATCCCCATTTTTATTTGCCCCCTATAATCTCCTTCTCCTTCTTCAGCAGACTGGTCTTTTTACAACATAGATTTAATTATGTCCCTCTCTTGAATAAACATGTTTGTGGATTCTCATTAACCTGGAGGTACTATAAACAAGGCCTTCTTCCGTGACTGACTTGCTCCCTTAGAGATGAAGGGATCCCCACCTTTCTGATATGTAGCACAGCCTCACTGTCCCACGCTGGCTTTCCTGGGAGACAGACTCTGGGGTGAAGATGAGCAAGTAGGTTTTTTTTCAGGGAGTACTTTTAGGATCAACAGTTGTGGACGGGAGAAGAGGGAAGCAGGATTGGGGAGAAAAAGAAGCTGGGCTGCAATGAAGTCCCAATGAAGACCTCAGCTGACCTTGCATGGAGCCTGGTACTAAGACGTTCCTCCAGAGTTGCTCTGAGTTAGGATAAGAGAGCTGGGCCTTTATACGACTAAGTTGATGAGTCCGATGAGAGGTGGTCTGTTCCCAGATATGACCTAAGCAAGGGTTCTCCCTTCAGCTGAGACAATCCCAAATAGGGCTGATGCTGAGGACCATCTCCATAGCCAGGTGCCTCTCAGCATCCATTACACTCCTCTTGGGAACAACTTGTTCCTGTGAAGACTTGGGCTCAGGACATTATTCACTCACTCATAGTCAGGTCCTCAGAGCTATCCCAGCTCACCCACATAACCCAAAGTTTTCTGATCTCACTTGGTCTGACCTGGGTTTTACTAATGGGAAAAGTTTAGGGTGAGCATCACGGGGGACTGAGAAGCCACTTTCTCTGGGATCTGAGTGCCTAGGTCTGGGGTGAGCTCTGGTAGGGGACAGAGGAAGGACGAGAGGAAAGGAAACTTCAGGCTTGTGAAGTGAGATAAAACTTTGGAATATTTACAAAGTCTCCCTACCACACATTTCTTTGCATTGCTCCCCACGGGGTGCAAGAGGCAAATAAAACCTAGCTGAGGACAAGACGTTAATTTTTTTAATAGACTTAATTTGTTAAGGACAGTTTTAGATTTACAGAAAAATTGAGCCCTATCATTAGCATCTTACATTAGTATGATAAATTATTGTAATCAATGAACCAATATTGATACATTATGATTAATCAAAGTTCATAGTTTATTTAGATCTTTTCTTTTTACCTAATGTCCTTTTTCTGTTCCAGCATCCCATCCAGGATACCTGTTACATTTACTTGTCATATTTCCTCAAGCTTCTCTTGGCTATGACAGTTTTTTAGACTTTCCTTGATTTTGATGACCTTGACCATTTTGAGGAGTTCTGGGCCTGATATTGCAGGATACCTCCTTATTGAAATTTGTCTGATGTTTTCCTCATGATTAGATTGGGGTTGTGAGTTTTGGGGGGAAGGTAACAGAGGAAAAGTGTCATCTTCATCACATCATATTAAAGGTACATATTAGTGACATGATTTATGATTGTTAATGTCGATTTATAACTGTTGATGAACTCTTGATCACCTGGCTGAAGTTGTATTTGTCAGGTTTTTCCACTGGAAAGTTATTTTTTTCTCCTTTTTTTCATGCTGTACTCTTTGCAAAGAAGTCACAATGCACAGCCCACACTTCAGGAGTGGAAGTTATGTTCCACCTCCTTTAGAGTGGAGTGTATAAATAAATTATCTGGGACTTTTCTGCACTGGAGATTCTTCTCTTCTTCCCCATTAATTTATTCAATCATTTATCTATATCGGTATGGACTCAGATATTTATTTTATACTTTGGATTATAACTCATTACTACTTTACTTATTTTTTTTGCTGACAGTGTTCCAGTTTTGTCCTTTGGGAGCTCTTTCAGTTGGTTCCTGTGCCCCTTTGATGTACTCCAGTCATTGTGGGTTTTGGTTTTGGGGTTGACTTTGTTTTCTTTTTAGCACTTTCTTACTTTCTAGAGGATGTTTAATTTTTGATGGAATGTTTTAAACAGAAAGAAGAGAGAGTAGTCTTTAAAGAAATAGCTTGAGAATACAGCACACAAGCCAAGTGATCAAATGAAGAGAAGTTTTCTTTTGAAATCCAACACCTAGTAGAAACCAATGGCCTCAATGATGTATTCACTCATTTTTAAAAATTGACAGCCTATTATATGGCAGACACAGTTCTGGCAACTGAGGATACAGATAATTCTCCCCCACTCCCAACCTGCCACGATAGAACTGACATTCTATTTGTGTAAGATAGACAAATACAGGCAGTTCTCACTTTGGTGCTGACATGCATGCATGTTACTTACCATAGTTTAGTTAAGTAACATCAGTCCCACAACACAAGTCTCGAAATTTAGGTGCCATAGTAAATTTACTGTAATTTGCATAGACTGCAAATTTCTGGGCTAGCTCTTCAGTCCACAAATCACCATGGAAATAACAAAAGCTCGTCATGATCAGTAACCAGTCATGCTGCGTCTTTCAAAGTCTGTTGGTGATTGGTCCTTATGAATCTCCTACTTATACAACAAAGCCTATAGTTGGATTGCCTCCTTGTCTCCCAGTGATGAGCCCATATGACATTTTACAGAAATGAATAATTGAAAGAGGAATTTTGCAACCAAGATGACATTACAGTGAAAAAATGAGAAGTGAAAATGCTGCAAGTGAGATTCAAATTGAATGTGAGTGGAATTCTAGAAGTACAAATAGTTGACTATGGCAATGTAGACCCTGATGCAGGAACTTCAGATAGGCAGCCAGAGGGAGGTAGTAAAGACAAACTCCCACAAATGGGAGAGGAGTGGTAACAAAAGGGCTGAAGATGTCCCAAAGGTTGAAATACTAGCAAAAATCTTCACATGAAAGGACTTTCTGGAGTGATTTCACAATATTGAAAATGCAAGGGATAACATGTTGGAAGCTAGTCCAAACTTAGAAAGATGGAAAAACACGAAGGTATAATAGAAATGATGCTTCCTGGTTGGGCATGGTGGCTCATGCCTGTAATCCCAGCACTTTGCGGGGCCAAGGCAGGTGGATCACCTGAGGTCAGGAGTTTGAGACTAGCCTGACCAACATGGAGAAACACTGTCTCTATTAAAAATACAAAATTAGCTGGGTGTGGTGATGCATGCCTGCAATCCCAGCTACTCAGGAGGCTGAGGCAGGAGAATCGCAGGAACCAGGGAGGTGGGGGTTGCAGTGAGCCAAGATCACGACATTCCACTCCAGCCCGGGCAATAAGAATGAAACACCATCTCAAAATAAATAAATAAATAAATAAAAAGAAATGATGCTTGCTCCGTGTATTAGCCTACTCTCACACTGCTATAAAGAACTACCGGAGACTGGATAATTTATGAAGAAAAGAGGTTTAATTGACTCACAGTTCCACAGGCTTAACAGGAAGCATGACTGGGAGGCCTCAGGAAACTTACAATCATTTTGGAAGGAGAAAAGGAAGCAGGGACCTTCTTTACATGGTGGCAGAAGAGAGAGAGAGAGAGAGCGAAGGGGGAAATGTCACACACTTTCAAAAAACCAGATCTCATGAGAACTCACTGAGATCTTACAAGAACTCACTGTCACAAGAACAGCAAGGGGGAAGTCCGCCCCCATGATTCAGTCACCTCCCATCCCACAACACATGCAGATTACAATTTGAGATGAGATTTGGATGGAGACACAGAGGCAAACCATATCACTCCATATCAG